CTGGAAGCTATGTCAACTCAGTGGCTAGAAAAGATAGCAGTGTCGTCTAATAAAACTGTGAGTCAAAAGCAGTTCATTGGTGTCAAACAAAAACGTGTTTGTTTTATTTGGAATGTTTAAAAGGGTTTGCACTAGTATCTGATCCGTTTGATGTGAGAGTTCATGTCCATTGTGAGCACTAATTTATGGAAGCTTGCTTATGCATCAGATTAAAAAATAAAAAGGCAATCGTGGGATAAAGTTTAAAATAAGAAAAGTCACACTGAAAGTCACACTGTGATAAATATACAAAATCTCCAGAAATAAATCAAAAATACAAGAAATAAAGTTATAAATTGTTTATAAATCATACAAATATAAATCAATTTATAAATTGTGACTTATGACTCGTGACTTGTGACTCATACTTTGTATGATATAATATTGCAATTATGGGAAAGTTTGTCACGGTGCACACACAAGAGGAACACGGGAACGAAGGAGCGAGGAGACACGGAGTAGAATAAATCAAAAGGGTTTTATTAACAAAGGCTGGGGATCACAGGACTCGACACATCAGGATGACGTTCAACGACTGACAAAGGACAAGAACCAGAACACACTTTAAATATACAGGAACTGATGAGGGGAAGACAAGGGACACCTGGAACTAATGACAATTAACATTGGAAACACCTGGGAACAATGAATTCAAAACACGAGACAGAGAAACTGGATGACGGAGCACATAGGGAGCAAAGACACACACAAAACCTGGCCCAGAGTCTGACATTACTCCCCCCTCCCAGAAGGCGTGTCCTCACGCCACCAAAACATCTAATGGGGAGGGGGGCATAGGGAGCAAAGACACACACAAAACCTGGCCCAGAGTCTGACAAAGTTACATTGAGAGAAGTAAAGTTGCAATTATAAGAAATAAAACCAATTATAAGATAAAAAGTCAAATTGTGAGTGATAAAGTTGCAATTACAAGACAGTCACAATTGTGACAATCATATTGTGAGAAATAAAGTTGGAATTATTGCAAAGTTGCAATTACGAGAAATAAAGTTGCAGTTTTGAGAAATAAAGTCAACTGCGAAATATAAAAGAAACATTGAAAGATTTATAAGCACAATTACTAGAAACAAAATCACAACTGCATGATACAAAGTCACACTGTGAGTGAGAAAGTTAGAATTATGACAAATAAAGTCGTAATTACGAGAAACTGTCACAATTGTAAGAAAAAAAGTTGCATTTATGAGATAAAGTAACATTGTGAGAAATAAAGTTGCAATTATAAGACAAAGGCGCAATTACAAGATAAAGCCACATTGTGAGAAATAAAATAACAATTATGATAAACAAAGGGAAAAAGTCAAGCTGGAAATAAGAGTAATAAAATTATAGCAGTCACAGTTGTAACAGTCAAAACTTCGGGATCGAAAGTCACATTGTGAGATATAAAGTGACAATTATGAGAAAAAGTCACAATTGTGCAATATAAAGTCATTTCGGGAATGATAAAGTTGCAGTTTTGAGAAATAAAGTCAATTGCGAAATTTAAAAGTCACATTGAGAGATTTATAATCACAATTATGAGAAGCCAAGCTGCAATTAAGAGTAATAAAATCGCAATTGCAACAAAGTCACAATTGTAACAGTCACAATTGTGAGATCTAAAGTCACATTGTGAGATATAAAGTGACAATTACGAGAAAAAGTAACAATTGTGAGATATAAAGTCACTTTGTGAGTGATAAAGTGGCAGTTATGCAAAATAAATTCGTAATTACGAGAAACAGTTACAAGATATTAAGTCATAACCGCAATACAAAGTCACATTGCAAGAGATAAAGTTGCAAGTATGGGAAATAAAGTCAACTTTGAGCAGTGCCGATCCTAGACTTCGGGTAGACTTCTACGGAAAACTGTGTCGGGGGAGGGGAGGGGATGTGTGGAGTGGGGTATGAGTGTTATGAACGAATGAATGAAACGCATTTGTCCGTGTTTCACTCATCTCGAATCGCGCTTGAGAAATAGTGTCTCTTCTGTGGCTCGGAACACTTTCAACTCGTTTTTTTAGTCTCGAGCAAGACTGTACGACATTCACATTACATGATTTGACTCATTTTTACGTAGAAAGGGCGACAGCGCACCGCATTAAAATAAATGATCATTCATGTTTTCATAACCGCTGGCCAAATTCAAAAACGAAACTAAAATTAAATCATCTTTGAGAGCAAGGGGTCCCCCTGGTGTTTCGGGGGCCCTACGCAGCTTGTGTATTTTGCGTATAGGGAGGATCGGCTCGGACTGTGAGATATGAAAGTAACACTGTGAGTTACAAAGTCAAAATTACAAGAAACAGAATCACAATTGTAAAAAAACAAACAAAAAAAAAACAAAAAAAAAAGTGTCGGGAAACAGGCTTCCAGACAAATGCCATGCATATTAAACTGCAAGCTCAACAGATTTTGGGGGTTAAATAGTATTTTAAACCTTCATTAATTTTAAAAGAAGCATCTACTCTTGGACTTTGCTCAACAAGACAATTAACTCTGAATCTTGCCAGCTTTCTTAAGACCGGAGGCTGACATCATCTGTGCCCTTGCCAACCAGTCAGGTATTTTGAGGGCTGGCTGAATAGACGCCTGTCATAGAACGTCTGTGGTATGTGCTGAAGATAAAAGAACATGTGCTGTGAGATTTTAAGGTCTTTCTGATAGCTTTAGATGGAATGTTTTATAGAATGCACATGACAGGGTTGTGCTTATAGTTGCTTCCAATGTAACAAGATATGAATACAGACCGAAATGTAGGTATTAAGAAAAGAGTCACCCAGAGGCTATTGAGAATCAAGCCAACACCTTCAACTTTCACCTTCTAACATTCTAACATCTTCCAAGACAATAAAGGTTTTTAAGGAGATGTGAGTAATTTATCCATCTGTTGGCCCTCTGATCTACAAGCAAAGCAAGAATTTTCTCAATGTGAATGGAGGGAGACCAGGAGAAATGACCACTCAAACTGATGTGCAATCTAGACTACTAATTACATAATGAAATTAAACCGTGTAAGACAACAAAAAAAGAAAACACTACAACAGCATATTGCATACAAACACTGTCATGGACCCTCATGAGATATTTTATCTTTAGAAGTGATTTGTGATTCAGGCTAAGTGATTAAAACTGGCAAAGCGACTATTAGTATACAGTTAATATATATTTGTCTATTGTAATATTAAACTTTACACACATATGCTAAAAGGGTGAGGCTTAAGTGACTTGTTCTTGTTCTTTTTTGTTTTTTTTTGACAGTTTGGAAATCAGAACATGGAAATAATTAAAGGAATAATTTAGCCAAAAGTGAAAATCTGTAATTATTTATTCACCTTCATGTCGTTCCACACCAGAATGCTGTATTTTTTTTTCATGGAACATAAAACAAAAATCTTCAAGCAACTCTAAAGCTCCAAAAATGACAAAAAATAAATAAATACCCTAAACAGACTGAACTATAAGAGAGCCAATGCAACTGGATTAATGAACAAATCCTACTTTTGAGCAGTTGCTTTTTAAAGGGGTTATGAACTAAGAAATCAAATTTCCCTTCATCTTCAACGTATTATAAAAACATGCCGTAAGTTTCAGAACTCAAAACTTTCTCTTGAGTTCAAAAACACCTTTTATTGAAACCAAGCTGAAAAATTTGTCACATTATGACAAGCTCGTTTCGGAATTTGTCACATTATGACATCACAGTGCGACGAAAGACCACCTCTTCAGAACAAAATCAACGCCTACTCCTATATTATTGCCTCGTTAGCTCCGCCCACTGATTCATGCATGTAGTAGGAGGAGAGGAAATACTAGAGAGATGCAAACACAAGATTACTCCATCAACAAAACCACAGAGATCCTCTGAGAATTACAAGTAAGTTGTGAAAAAACACAGTCTTTGAATTGCCTTCCTTGCGATCCTAACACCGTATCTACATCGGATGCAAGAGCTGTTCCATTGCATCGTGAATCCATTTCTCTTTCGTGTCAGAAGAGCAAGTGCTTGGAGTACATCAGAAGTAGAACAGAATATCAGTTTACTCTTGGGGATTTGTCATGTCAATCTGCACCACAGACAAAATCACTTATTATAATGGGTTCTGTTGTCTTTAATAGAGGTGTGCCACTCGTGTACAGTGTAGACACTGGGTAACATTAGGAAAGAGCTCCAGATCGTGTCATTGAAACACTGTTTGTTTGCTTTATTTTACTCCAGATTAATTTTTAAACAGTTCAACTGAAGCTTTTCAGAGAGACTGAAAGTAAAAGATAAGTCTGACTATATTGGATCCAACAGTAACGTCGCAATACATAAGTGTGAGTAACCATGTTTTTACCTCTATTGCATTGTCTGTTCCAGATAGTTTGATATATACTGAGTATTTATACATTTTTAACCAGAATAACCCATGTTGATTTTAGAGTACATCACAGCAGTGTCCATCTACTATTTTAATATGCAAAACTGTTAGCCAATCATAGCAGTGGGCGTTTACTTCCAAGCCTTGAATGCACCCAGACTATAAAATAGAGCCAATAGACTGTTTTTTTTTTCTGCAGAGAGGGTCAAAAACAGAATAGAAAATAGCCTATTACTTCTATTTTTTTTTTTTTTAGAAGTTTAGAAGACGTTTTTTGATGTAAAAATCTTGAACAACATTATAAACCTCAGAGAACATTATAAAATAATAAAAATGCATTTCATGACCCCTGTAATGCACTGGTTGATTCAGTTCACAAATAAGAGTGAATGATTCATTCATGAAAATCTACTTTTATGGTGCTTTTTGGAGTTTTTTCGTGACATTTTTGGAGATGAACAGTTGTTGTATAGAAAACAGTTGCGTGAAGATACTTTAAAACAGAATATAAAAGAAGAAAGTCATATGGGTGTGGAATGACGTGAAGGTGAATTTTTATTTTTTTATTTTATTTATTTTTGCTGTTGCTTACCCTCCATCCTCCTGAAAGCCTTCAAGTTCATCTCTCTGCTCAGCCAAGGTGGACTCCAAGTCCAGATAACTGCCGTTATGAGACAACTCTAAAGCACAGTCATCGAGCTAAGAAAGGGACAAAATGAAAAAGACAGATTAAAAAAATATTCATACGCAACAAGAAATCAAAATAACTTCTTAAAACAAATAATTATGGAACATTGCATCTTAGTGCAATCATAAATACATATTCAAGTAAACCATCAGTAATGCCAGTACATTGGATATGCATGACATCATGCTGAGCCTTGACATGTCAGCTATGTGATTTATAGGAATGCACCATTATTTTTTATTCATAACATCACACAGCTTCATAAACAGTGACATACCACATTTAAGCGGTCCTTTCATGCTCTAATTCATATTTCACTTCGATATCAACTCATTGACATAAATACTGTATAAAACTAGGTGTTACTAAAGCTTAAATGTTCTTAAAGTCATTATGCTGTCATGTTTCTACACTACCTTCACTGATAGCCACATTTTGCCAGAACATTATTTCAAAACGTGTCAGAATCATATCAATATCGCAACTGAGGAATCAAAAGAACTTGTCATAACTTCAAAGCACTCTTATTCAAAGCATTCAGACTGAATCTGATTTATAGAAGTGTTATGAGAAGCCCAACCACACCGTTTGGAGATATGCAGCAGTCTTTAGAGGTCTCTAGTGCTCTGTTGGAGGCCTGCCTGTTTGTTGACACTCAATTACAGCCCAGTGATGGGATTTGAAACCTCCCAGGGGCAGCAGCATGAACTGTCAATCAACGCGTGAGCAGGGTCACCCGCGACTCTAAACATGCTAATTACACGCACTGTTCCCAGTTGACTCCCCCAGCACCAGATCAGGCCTTTAAGCCCCTGCCTGGCTTACCAAGCCACATCCAGCCCCTGGGACAGGTAAGAATATCCTTCATGCGTGGATACCAAGAGGAGTTTACTTTTGCCAGCATGTCTAGAATACCAAAGGGGTCTTTGCTGAAAGTCTCTGTCCTCACCTGTAAGATCTTTGGAATCCTAGTAGTTTTGATTTGCATCGTTATGAAAACATATACTTGGACAACTGATTTAGCTAAAATTACCATAAAGCTACCTCAGGAGTACTATGTGCAAGAGTTAGAATTAAAAGTCTTAAATGGGCCAAATATACAAATAACAAAATAGAGTATCTATGATAAAGAAAACGTCTCGGTTACTTGTGTAACCCTCGTTCCCTGAAGGAGGGAACGGAGACGTTACGTCAGTCGTGACTGACGAATTGGGATCTCGCCCAAGAGCCCAATCACCTTCGAGTGTTAACTAAACAAGCCAATGACAGTTGGCGTGCGTGTTTCGCCACGCGCACCCCGCCCCGCAGCGCGGGTATAAAAGGAGAGCGCGTGCAAACGCACATCAGTTTTTCGCTGAGGAGCCGAGACGACGTGTCCCGGCCGTACAGCGGTGGTACAGCAACTGTGGCGACGGGACGTAACGTCTCCGTTCCCTCCTTCAGGGAACGAGGGTTACACAAGTAACCGAGACGTTGCCTTTCAGTCAGTCACGTTCGACATTAGTCAGTCGTGACTGACGAATTGGGATCCGTATGGAAAACGCCACTATTGCTGACCCCCTCCAGTGCCCTGCGGAAGCCGGCAAGTCCCCCCACACCAGCTGGGGCGGAAGATAGGACAGCGGCTAGGCAGAGGTGTCCGCACTGCTGTTCCATACAGTGGTACCTTTGGATAACACTGGGAAAGCGTACCCAGTTGGGACGCTACGGAAGCCACATCCCGCATATAGGAGGTAACATGTGGAATTACACATATGGACTGGCCCAGGGCAGTGCTACATATGGAAGTCCCTGCGGTAGACCCAACCCGCCCGGGGTGAGATAACTACGCAGCAGAGATGGCAGCGAACGGCTGCCAGGGAAAGACACGGGCTTACCGTGAGGGGAGCCATACCGTGGAAGAATACACATGTGGGATCACCCGAAGGGGGAATCACTACACACGGGCACCTAG